TGCCTGAAGCAAAAGGAAACACAAAGCAACAGTAGATTCACTGCATACAGAGGATGGAGAATTACTTAGAGGCAACAAACAGAAGTCAGAACTAGAGATGGGGACGAATATAAAAATGGATCGGCTTTTTCGACCAAAACAGCCAATTCGTTAACCTAACGTTTCAAAAACATTTTTCCTGTGATTACATATAGTTTGCTGTATAAATTTAAATTGCAGTGTTAATTACATTAACTCTGCATGAGTAGAGAGAAGATTATTTCATGTATTCACAGTGATTATTCAAGAAGCAGCTCAACGTCTTCATAAAATATGCCATATCTATCTTACAATATTCAACAGCAACCTCAAGTTTATAAATGAAATGCTTCTATTGCTCTGTTCTGTTTGTTAGGCTTTACCAAAAGGGGGAGAACAACTAAATAAAAAGCTTCACACTCAGTTATTCACCATCTTGGGACTCTTTGCTTTAAATTAACTGTTAAAATCGTAAATTTATATTATATTTTATATCATTTTGTTTTTTAATGTAAGAGACAGCTTGCATCTAACAAGGACTGGGAAGAATGTGTTTGCCCACAGCATGAAGAATTTCATCAGGATGGCTTTAAACTGAATCAGAAAGGGGAGGGAGATGCAAGCACAGAGTTAGGGGTATATGAAGCCTTACACACAATTAGAGGAATGGACCAAACTGATCAAAAGGGCAACAATAATAACATTAACAATAATAATCACAGTAATAAACTATCGACCACCCAATCAAAGAGAGGAAGCATACAAAACTTTTGAAAAACAAACTGCAGGGTTTTCAGAGACACGACGTAGTAGTGATGGGTGATTTCAATTATCCAGATATATGTTGGCAGGCAAATTCTGCCAAGTATGGCCCTTCCAAGAAACTCCTGGTTTGTGTGGCTGATAATTTTCTCCTACAAAAAGTGGAGAAAGAAACTAGAGGATTTGCTATCCTTGATTCTGACCAACAAAGATGACTTGGTGGGGGAAGTGGCAGTAAGGTTAACTCTATGTGAGAGTGACCATGTCCTTCTAGAATCCCTGATTGCAAAGGAAACAAAAACAGAGTGTAGCCACACAAATCTACTGGATTTTTTAGAAGCCAATTTTAATAATCTCAGAACATAATCTCAGAACAAAGTCCCATGGCAGGAGATCCTAACAAGAAAAAGAGTCCAAGATGGCATTAAGGAAGGCAAAAGCTGAGAATGAGCTGAGGTTAGTTAGAAACACTGTGCTTTCCAGAAGAAAGGCCAGGCTTTGCAGCTTTGGGCAAGCTACACACTCCCAGTGTACCACCAGAAGTTGGGAATGGTAAATTATTTCTAAGTTCTTTACACGTGGAAACCCTTGGAAAGTTCACCATAAATTGGAATTGACTAGATGTTATGTAATCATTATTTTTATTATAAAGAAAACTCTTCTGAAAATCATTGCTATATATAAACAGAAACTAGCCCCAAATGTGCCACTATATGACTGTTTCACACACACCGTACTTTCAGACTTAAAATGCCCTGCCAAACTAACTGGGCATCCTATTTATAAATGTTCACCTTTGTAGTGATCATTAAGGAAAAATATACTTTTTATAGTCACTGCTCTTCTGCTCCACTTGCTCTTAAGAGAATTAAACTTGAATGAAATTACAGAAAAGCTACCTACCGAAAGTGCTACAGAGACTACATCCAAGCCTCTAAATCTACATTTACCAAGAATCCTCGAACAAAAATCTGCTTCTAACAATTCCTTTGAAATACAAAGGCTTTTCCTTCCAGGGAGGGGAACTGTATGCATCTAAGAAAACTATGTAGGAAAAACAGCCATTGTGTTGTTCCTGATCCCAACATGATTATATGGATACTTATTTTTCACCCCTTATAGTAACTGTGTGTGTGGGGGGGTTGCTTAATGGTTAATTCTTTCAAAGATACTTGCCAAGCACTGCTGCAGTTTGCGCTGCTGCAATTTACCTGAAACCCCTGTGGATACTGTTTGTGCCAAAATTACGTGCAGTGTTTCAGCATTTAAATATATCTTTTTAAAACTGTCTCTGTTGGGTGAAAGATGGAAAATAAATGAAAAGAAC